GAGAGAGAGAGAGAGAGACCTGATGAGTGAGGCTGAGCCCTGTTCTTCCCTCTCCTCGCGGAGGAAGACGAATGCGGCAGCAGATTCCTACCTCCTGCAGTCCTGCGCGCTTTAAAGGAGGAGGAGCAACTGTATATCTCCAAACTAAACTAATTTAAGCTAGCCTACAACCTGCAGAAAGAACAAGGGCACTGGAAACATAGCCATCAGCCCATCACTCACCACTCACTGTACTGTACACCATCCTCGCCCGTCGCTTTCTAACAGTTCTCTGACCAATTATTTCATTTCCGCTTGCCGTAAAGACACAAAAAGAGAGAGAAAACATGCCCACCGTATCAGTTTGGCCTGAAATATCAAACCTCTCGTTCTGCACCGAGACGTGTGCCGTGCTGAGCATTGTGGTGGGGAACGCTGCTTCGGTGCCTTAAAGCATCTGCCTTTGGGTCTATGACAAGTGGGTATGAACAGGCACCTGCCTCATCCTCGCCCGTCGCTTTCTAACAGTTCTTTGACCTATTGGGTCCACCTGTCATAGGCCCAAAGATAGGTGTCTTTAAGGCACCGAAGCTCAGTCCTGTGGTGGGCTATTAGTCGATGGACAGTAACTCTATCTGTCAGGTCCCTGACAATGTTGTCTCTACTTCAGCCTTAATTCTGTGCAGGAGGCTAGAGACCTGAGTAATGAGAATGGTTTTGTTGTCGGGCAGTAAAGTCCGCAGCCGTTAATTTGAGGACGAGGCATGTGTGCGAGTGAGAGTATGATTAATAATAGAAGCAACGATCGGCTATAAGGAGTTGGCGTGTCATCTATATTCAATCTAATAGCCGGCATGTATAATAGTATATTTTAATTATGTAGTACTACTTTATGCATAATTGGCCCATCTTACAACCTCATAAACTACTACTTTGAGGCTCATGCTGCGGCTAACTACTAACTAGAGCCCGCTTCTTTTCTCTCTTCTCATTTTTCCCCTCTAACTAAGTAAAGATATAATATTTTAGTCCTTATAGTCTGCTTATGTCACCCTTATTGTACTTGCTCTGAGCCAATCCAAGATTCCCCCCGGGTGAAAAACCTAGGGTCCAAGAAGTTTTACCCGGTTTCGGTGAGGGAGGTGCAATGACAGATAGAAGATCTAAAGTCACTCTGTATGGCAACGGTCAGGCGTTACCCTATAGACTTAATAGTTATTCATGTATCTTTATTGTTGGCGTTATCAGTAACGCCCACCTTTATGTACCTTAAACCTTGTGTAATTGAGGGTTGGAGGGGTCCGACACACTCTATATAAGCCACCCCTCCTCCGGCAGAAGGGTTCACACCCCCTGTAACTTCACGCATATTCCAATCGACCGAGCCTCCGGGCACCGAGACGTAGGGCTGCTAGTTCCTCCGCGAAGGGTCTGAACTCGTACATCCTGCGTGCAAAATCTCAGCGCAGTTAGGATCTTGCCTCTACATTCTTACCCCCCTACTTTACTGTCAGACTTAGAACCACGACAGTTGGCGCCCACCGTGGGGCAGGTGTCTTAGCGACTTTCCGGTGAGGTTGCAATTTTCTCCGACTCTTTTCATCATGGTTTCCGACGGAGGTTTGGCTGAGGGCCGCGAGATCCGTCTCGGCGCTCTCGTCTTCATTGCCGACGACTCCGCCTGGCTTCAGGAAGCTCCTCTCGACGTCGAGGCGCTCCCTGTCCGTGGAGCGACGCACTTTCGTGCGTGCGTTCGCAGCGTCCTGCTGCAGCAGCCGTCGACCCAGTATCGGTCAGCTCCCGCGGTACCCTCGCTCCCCGCTGCACGCCGTTGCAAGCGACCCGGTCGATCGCAGATTCAGCGGTGGGTGAAGCACGCGGTGGCACGTCAGTCGGCCACCCCTCAAGTCGCGGCAATTGAGCCCGATGAATCTCTCTACGGCATGTTCGACTGGCTCCGTCGAGACCTCGTCCGAGTGCGGCAGTGCTACCTCTTGAGCACTTGCGTTGGTTTTTCCTTGAAGAGGAAAGAGTGATGCAACAAAGTAGCGTAAGTATTTCCCTCAGTTTTTGAGAACCAAGGTATCAATCCAGTAGGAGGCCATGCACGAGTCCCTCGCACCTACACAAACAAATAAATCCTTGCAACCAACGCGATAAGGGGTTGTCAATTCCTACACGGTCACTTACGAGAGTGAGATCTGATAGATATGATAAAATAATATTTTTGGTATTTTTATGATAAAGAGAAATAAAAGATGCAAAGAAAAATAAATGGCAAAGGAAATAACTAAGTATTAGAAGATTAATATGATGGAAGATAGACCCGAGGGCCATAGGTTTCATTAGTGGCTTCTCTCAAGAGCATAAGTATTCACGGTGGGTAAATAAATTACTGTTGAGCAATTGACAGAATTGAGCATAGTTATGAGAATATCTAGGTATGATCATGTATATAGGCATCACGTCCGAGACAAGTAGACCGACTCCTGCCTGCATATACTACTATTACTCCACACATTGACCGCTATCCAGCATGCATCTAGAGTATTAAGTTCAAGAGAATAGAGTAACGCTATAAGCAAGATGACATGATGTAGATGGATAAACTCATGCAATATGAAATAAACCCCATCTTGTTATCCTCGATGGCAACAATACAATACGTGTCTTGCTGCCCCTACTGTCACTGGGAAAGGACACCGCAAGATTGAACCCAAAGCTAAGCACTTCTCCCATTGCAAGAAAGATCAATCTAGTAGGCCAAACCAAACTGATAATTCGAAGACTTGCAAAGATAACCAATCATACATAAAAGAATTCAGAGAAGATTCAAACATTGTTCATAGATAAACTTGATCATAAACCCACAATTCATCGGTCTCAACAAACACACCGCAAAAGAAGATTACATCGAATAGATCTCCACAAGAGAGGGGGAGAGCTTTGTATTGAGATCCAAAAAGAGAGAAGAAGCCATATAGCTAATAACTATGGACCCGAAGGTCTGAGGTAAACTACTCTCACTTCATCGGAGAGGCTATGGTGTTGATGTAGAAGCCCTCCGTGATGGATGCCCCCTCCGACGGAGCTCCGGAACAGGCCCCAAGATGGGATCTCGTGGATACAAAAAGTTACGGCGGTGGAATTAGGGTTTTGGCTCCATCTCTGATCGTTTGGGGGTACGTAGGTATATATAGGAGGAAGGAGTACGTCGGTGGAGCAACAGGGGGCCCACGAGGGTGGAGGGCGGTAGGCGCGCCCCCTACCTCGTGCTCTCCTTGTTGATTGCTTGACGTAGGTTCCAAGTCCTCTGGATCATGTTCATTTCGAAAATCACGTTCCCGAAGGTTTCATTCCGTTTGGACTCCGTTTGATATTCTTTTTCTGCGAAACCCTAAGATAGGCAAAAAAATAGCAATTCTGGGTTGGGCCTCCGGTTAATAGGTTAGTCCCAAAAATAATATAAAAGTGTATAATAAAGCCCAATAATGTCCAAAACAGAATATAAGATAGCATGGAACAATCAAAAATTATAGATACATTGGAGACGTATCAGACAGCAGCGACCCCGCGGCAGAAGTCCTGATGGTCGACACGCCCCGCAGCTCGCCTGGCATGCGTCGCAACACGTATTCATGAAGAGTAACATCCCGAAACTCTCTCTTATCAGCAGAGGGAGGAACTTCGCCACCGCAATATGGAGGCCCTACACACGCACATTGTTGGAGAGACCTCTGAGGCTCGGGGCCTTGGAGGCAGTATGTTTAGCCACTTTGGCTGAGCGCACTCGTTTGGCGAATCTTCAACGTTCACTCGACGAGTGTTCTCAGTGGCAAATCCC